AAGCTTATCATTTTGGCCTATATTCTTGTTGATTTTATGTTAAAGAATTTTTGGAGGTCCTTACTCTTTCACTTTTGCTCTGGATTTGTAGTTTCCTAAGAAATTGCCGAATAATTTTCAAGGTTGGCTGTACCTTTTTTATATTCTCCCCGACCAAGATGTGATTGTTCTAATTTCTCATTGTGGCTCTCATTTATATTTCTCTAGTGGTTAATGATACCGAACATCTTTTCAAGTATTTATTGGTTTTCTGTATCTTTTCTTCAGTGACATGTGTCTGTTTCTTGTTTTCTATTTGGATTTATTTTTAGTCTTGAGTTTTAAGAGCTTTTAAATAGTATAGAAACCAGTTCTTTGTTGTTTACAAATATATTCTCCCAATGTGTAATTTGTCTTTTCATCTTCTTTGAAGTTCTTTTTGGAGAGCAAAAGTTTTACCTTTTGATGAGGTCCAGTTTGTCAATTTTTGCTTTTATGTATCATGTTTTTAGTGTCAATTCTAAGAACTCCTTTTCTAGCCGTAGGCCATCAAGGTTTTCTCCTGTGAGAAAAATCTCACATTAGTTTTTTTCTCTGAAAGTCTTATATTTTTTGTTTTACATTCACCTTCCTAGTTTTGAAGTTTTGTTTTGGTCTTCTGGAATTAGAATTCTTGATTTTTTTTTTTTTTTCCTAGCACTTTTATGATGTTCATTATCTTCTGGCTTCCATAGTTTCTGAAGCAACATCTGCTATCATTCTTATATTTGTTCCCCCTACATGTAACACCTTTTTTTTTTTTTTCCCCCTTAGACTACTTTGACGGATTTTATTTTTACACTGTTTTTCAGGGATTAAATTTTGATATACCTCATTGGGGTTTTCTTTTTTCTTGTGCTTGACGTTCTTTGAGCTTCTTGGCTTTGTCTTTATAGTTTTCATCAAAATTAGCAATTTTTTGACATTATTTCATCAGATATTTATTTCTACAGTCCTCTCTCTGGTCTATGTTTCCAGGACTCTTACATGTTTGTTAGATTGTTTAATATTTTCACTTAATCATCAACACTCTTTTCAGTCTTTTTCTCTTCTATGTGGTTCAGTATGGACAAATTTTATTTCTCTGTCTTCAGTCTCTAATTTGCTGTTAACCCCACCTAGTGATGCTTTCACTTTGTTCATTGTATTTTTGGTCTCTAGAAGTTCTGTTTGCTTCTTCTTCATACTTTAACACTTCTCTTGCAGTGTTCCTATTTTGCTTTAAATGTCTGAATATACTTCTTATACTTGTTCTTATGTCCTTGTTTGCTGACTTTGTCATCTGTGTTCTCTTGTATATGCTGGTATTGACTGTTATCGGTCACATTTTCTTGATTTATTGGCATATCTAATACTCTGACTGGACACTGGACCTTACAAGTTTTACATTGCTGAGTCTCTAGACTTTATTGTCTTTCTTTTTGTGTGTGTGCTTTATTCTGGCATGAGGTTATTTACAATTTAGTTTAATCCTTTCATGGCTTGTGTTTACGCTTCATTAGGACAGGTCTAGAGTAACCTCTACTCTAGGCTTAGTTTAGCCCTATTACTAGGGCATTGCCTTTTTTTATAGGATTTGATTTGAATGTGCCAGGTAATCAACAAGGGCCTGGTACCCTTGCTGCTCATAACTTAAATGCCTCCAGCCCTGTATGATTTCTGGACCACTCAGCTAATAGGTTTTCTGTCACTTTTTGCCTAGGCTGCATTTTAGAATTCAGCAATGAATTAAAGGGTCCTTACTTAAATTTTTAAAGGTTTTTTTCTTTTTCTTTTTTCTGTGTAGCATCCTCTCCTCCAGAACTCCACCCCACTATCCCACAACTTCCAGCTGCCTCAGTTTTCCTAAATTCTGACTTGTGTCTCTATAACTCAGTGAGACTTAAATATATTTTGTTTAGGATCCCATTCATGTTCCACAGTTCACAGTTTCCCTCCAGGTAGAAAGCTAGGGACATCGTATGGCTTGCGTTGTTTCTTCTCTCTCAGGTGACACAATCCTAATTGCCTATTTTTTGTATCTAAAAATGATTGTTTCATATGTTCTATCCAATTTTCCTGTTGCTTATAGCAGCCAGGTAAATCTGGTCCCTATTATTCCATCACGGCTAGAAATAAAAGTCCTGTTCTTTTAATTTTAAAAAAAGGTCAACTTTATTTTGGAACAATTTTATATTTACAGAAAAGTTGTAAAGAGAGTACAGAGTTCTAGTACCCCTCTCACCCAGTTTCTCCTGTTGTTAACATCTTAAAATTCCATGATACATTTGTCAAAAGTAAGAAACTGACATTGGCATATCACTATTAAGTAAATGTGTATATCTAATTTTTAAAAATATTTTATTAATTATTTGACAGACAGAGATCACAAGTAGGTAGAGAGGCAGGCAGAAAGAGAGGAGGAAGTAGGCTCCCTGCTGAGCAGAGAGCGGGAGGCGGGGCTCGATCCCAGGATCCTGGGATCATCACCTGAGCTGAAGGCAGAGGCTTTAACCCACTGAGCCACCCAGGCGCCCCTGTATATCTAATTTTATTAAAAAACTACCAAACTACTTTCCAACGTGGCCGTATTGTTTGCATTCCTGCCAGCAGTGAATGAAAACTCCTTGAGCTATAGGAGATTATGATGAAAACTAGTTACATTGAAACACCAACATTTCAACTTCTTTGAAATTACAAAAAAATGAGTAAAGAGAAGTGACTGAAAATTGCTAAACCGTTGATTATAGATGACTCACAATAACTATAGTAACAATAACAGTGGCATTCATGGTACTCTGATTGTTCTAAGAGCTTTACATTTATTGATCCATTTAATCCTTAACAATATCCTGATGTTATTGGTGTTATTATTCTCTCCTTCTATAGATTATGAAAGGGAGAAGTTGAGTAATTTTCCCTTGGGCACATGGCTACTGAGGTGCACTCTTTCCAGCTTCACAGCCTGTTCTCGGACCCATCCCACCAGTGATGATTATCACTTGCACATCAGGATAACCTGAGTTGAGATGGTGTTTCACGTGGTAGGGGTGGTCCCGCACACCTATGTTTTGTAGTCAGGGTTGGGAACATTCTATTCTTTCTGTAGACTGCATCTTCATTTTAATGTAGGTAAATTTAATGTGTTAATATACATTTTTAAATTTCATTCATAACAGCGAGCACTTTAGTTTATGTTTTGATTTGGGCATTCATTTTTTTTTCACATGTAATAATTTGTTATTATTGAAGTTTTAAAGAATAATTTGCACATCAAAAACCTTCCTTCTGGGGTGCCTGGGTGGCTCAGTGGGTTAAAGCCTCTGCCTTCGGCTCAGGTCATGATCCCAGGGTCCTGGGATCGAGCCCCGCATCGGGCTCTCTGCTCAGCGGGGAGCCTGCTTCCCCCCCTCTCTCTCTCTGCCTGCCTCTCTGCCTGCTTGTGATCTCTCTCTCTGTCAAATAAATAAAATCTTTAAAAAAAAAAAAAAAAAACCTTCCTTCTTGCCTTACCACCCAAACTAGACCTCTTCTGGTGTTCCTTCTCTCAAAAGTTGCCTGTCATTGTCCACCCAGACAAGCCCAGTTTCTTAGAGTTCACCTTGGTGTGGTGCATTCATTTTAAGGTAGTTTTGCATATGTAGAACTTGAGTTTAGGCAAGTATTTTGTAGGTAACTGAAAAATCAGTTGTCTCTTTATTTTGGTGTCCAGGAACCCTGACTTTGGTGTGACAAATGCAAATGGTTGTGTATGTATGCATGTGTGCTCACACATTTATTTACATACGGTCTTTTGGCACCAAAGAAATTTTAGGGTCATCTCATAAAGCAGTTAGGTATTCCTTCCTAAAACTAATGCTTAAAGAATATTGATTTTAAAATGTGAGATCTTTTTATATACACAAAACAAGGAATAAAATATATGATAGGATGGAATAATTGTTTAAATTGTGTTAGGCCCAGCAGGTTAATACCAACACAAAATCTATTTAATGCAGCATTAAATAATTGTGAATGTATTGCTTTTGTATCTTTCTTATTTTGTGTTAGCGACTTTTTAACATTTGATGTTAGACTTAAAAATGTAGAAAAAAGTTCCAAATTCTTTTAAAAATATTTTATGAAGACTGATTTATGACATATAGACATTTTTATGACATATAACAAATACAATGGTAGATTTGAAAATATAAAAAAAACTAGGTCTCATGTCTGAGAATCAGTGATACAGATTTATTTTAAAATTATTATGTGATCTCCAGTTGTCACTTCTGCTCTGAGTAGTCGGCTGCTGTTGTTTGCATAAAAGTCTCCACCAGAGTGTGCTAAAGATACTTCCGTGAGAAAAGTGTTATTTACTAGACTTGTCTGGACTTGTCAGCAGGGCTAACTTTTTTTTTTTTTTTTAAGAAAAGAATTTGATTCTTGTTTATGAGATTCCTTTTGCTGTGAAATAAATTATGTAGCTTGACAGTTGAGTATTTTTATAGATACTGTAAATGGTCAGTATTTAATCTCTCCATTCTTGGTTCTCAGTCAGTATATTAGCTGGAAATAGTTTTTATTTATTTTGTAAAGTTGTCCTTTAGAAATTGAAAGTTGCATTTTCATTTACGTAATAAGTGTTGATTTTCTTTACGCAATTCGTGTTTTTCTGAAAACCTGAACACTTTAAAATGAACTAGAAAAAGTGGTAGTTTGTTTTTTGAGTTTAAAAAATACCTCAAAATATATCTGTTATGCATGCTTTTATTTTAAAATAACAACTTAAATCAGTAAATAGGTTTAATATTTGCAATTCCAACATAAAATATCATTCTTGAGGTATTAGTTATCTGTGATGACCACAGGTTTTGTGTCATGCACTTAGAGTACAATATGATAGAAAGCTTTCATCCCTTTTTATTTGATAAATTTCTAATGTGAGCATTTTACAGATTGGTTATCTTGCAAAAGTACTGGATGATAACAACTATTTTTTTTTTTTTCTTCTTTCGTTCCAGGTACCTTCACTCAAATAACATAGTTGTGGTTCCAGAAGGTAAGTCCACTTCCAGTTTTTAGTTAGGAGGTACCATAGTTTATGCTTTCCTTTATAATAGTAGGACAAATTTTGATTGGAATATTAGGGAATTTTACTTTTAAAGTATCTTTAATTTATTAGTTTCAAAGATTAGTAAATTCAGTTAATAATTTTGATTAAGTAAATAATAAGTCAAATGGTTATAACAGGTAAATTATTATTGGATAAATTGTTAGGTAAATAATAAAATGATAAATTTCAAAGATTTTTATTTTTTAATCTCTTTTTATTATTTTTAAGTATTTTGTACACCCAATATTGGCTTAAACTCATAATCCCGAGATCAAGAGTCACATGCTCTATAGACTGAGCAAGCCAAGCACCCTAAAATTCTAATTTCTTTAAAAGACTTAACCTGGTGATGGGTATCAAGGAGGGCACAGATTGTGTGGAATACTGGGTGTTATACGCAAATAATGAATCATGAAATACTACATCAAAAACTAATGATGTGGGGTGCTTTGGTGGCTCAGTGGGTTAAACTCTCTGCCTTTGGCTCGGGTCATGGTCCCTGGGTTCTGGGATCGGGCCCCGCGTTGGGCTCTCTGCTCAGCCCAGAGCCCGCTTCCCTTCCTCTCTCTCTGTGCCTGGCTCTCTGCCTCCTTATGATCTCTGTCTGTTAAATGGATAGATAAAAGTCTTTAAAAAAAAAAAAAAAAAACTAATGATGTACTGTCTGGTGTCTAACATAACATAATAAAAATAAAAACATGAAAATAAAATAAAGATCTATTTATTTGTTTTACTTTAGAGAAAGCATGTGTGCATGGGAGGGGCAGAGGGAGAAGTATAGAGAGAATCTTAAGCTGACTCCCTGCCAAGTACTCAGCCCAGCCTGGGGCTCAGTCCCATAACCCTGAGATCCTGACCTGAGCCAAAATCAAAAGTTGGTCACTCAACTGACTGAGCCACCCAGGCATCCTTTTAAGTTTTAAATTTAATAAATCCAGCTAAGAATTTTGGTTAGACAAAAAGACCTTATATATCGTTTCATTATTTATTTATTCAAGCAGTGCTTTACACTGTAACATTTTTATTTGTGCTTTTTAACTTATCGTATTTTATATCAAGGTTGAAGTCTTATCACTTCTATAAAATGTACTTTGACCTGCGTTTTTACTATTTGTGCAACAGCAACAGGTATATTACGATATTTTAATTAGTGGTACTTGCATTTAAGATTTGTCATAACACTTGGGTCAAATTAATCTTGCCTTAACCTTTCTTTTCTCTTTGAAGCCATTGGATCCCTTGTAAAACTCCAGTGTTTGGATCTTAGTGACAATGCCTTAGAAATTGTTTGCCCAGAAATTGGTCGTCTGAGAGCTTTACGTCATCTTCGATTAGCTAATAACCAACTGCAATTCCTACCTCCAGGTAATCACAGTCTGTAGCACACAATAGTTTCTTATCTACTTATAAATCTATTTTTATTTCTGTTTCTTGCTGTGTGTCTAGGCAGTGAACTTTGGGTATACTTGTGATTTGGGATATTTGTTTGAAGATGAAGCTAAGGAATGTGGTGAAATGTGTCTAAGGGTCTTTTACCTGATATGGACATAAGAAGGTGGCATTTATGTTTTTCGCTACAATTACTACAATTATGCATTGCGCTCAGTTCCCCTTCAAGTCACTCCTCTCATGAAATATTTGTACAAAGAAGTAATTCAGTTCTGAATATTTTATGTGAGAGAATTTAGTTGAACTTTGCATGAGGTAATCATTTTAGTACCCAAAAAGGAAATACAGTGCTTTCTGTCATTTTCTAGTGAGGTAACTTATGTATATTAACTTTGACTTAATAAATCTTACTAGAATTTCATAGCAGAATTTAAGTGTGAGTCCCAGAACTAGTTGTCAGTTCCGCCTACTGAATATTCTCCTATAAGGTGATGTACATATGGATAGTACTGAAATTCTGCATTCTCCTGAGCTACCGTTAAACTGGTTGACTTTCTTATAAGGGACATAAAGGGGCCTTCCTTTGTGAGTCCACACATTTGCAAATTCTGTCATATGTCACTTCCCATATTTAAAAAAAAAGGTGAAATATGTTAAAAAGAATAAAAAATCTTGCGCCTTAAATAATATGTGAAAGTTACCTTGCATTCCAGAATGAGCAGAGAAAAATGCAGATGTCACATTGTCAAAGATTATTTCTACTTAATAATCAGGAACACCAACCAGTCTGTTAGTGTATCCAGGTGAAATGTGTGACTCAACCAGAATTACAAATTAGTACCTGTCGTGGAACTTCAGGGTCACATGAGAATGATAAAAGCTACTCATGCTTAATCCATGAGTGAAAAAGTCTATAATATTTCTTTGTGATATAAAAAATACTTTCTCTGACGTCTTTCAAGTATAAACATTTCTAAGTGAAACACAGTAACTCATTAATTTTTAGATTTTATGTACTGGCCTTAATAAAATAGATTCAATATTGTTTATAAAAGTAGTACAGTGGTTGACTCTGCTTGAAAAATTCTTTAACCCTATATAAGTACTGTCTTACATTTTCCAACAATAGTTAATAAAAAAAATTTCAATATAGTGTAGGAATCTGATCTTTTAGAGTTTTTTGTATGTAATCAGGCTCAGCGGTGTTTTATCATTCTAGCTTTCATCAAGTTTATATATTCAGATACTCAGGAAATTAGATTCTTTTTTGGAGATTGCCTAGGAAATGTATCAGTAAAGATAATACTCTGGGTTTTCAAATTCTTATATATGAAACTTCTACAAGATCTATTATAAAATCAAGATACATGGCTATAATACTGTATTCAGAAGCCCCTTTTATATATATTCAAAGAGCAAATGAGAAATACAATTCTGTTAAGCCATTGTTCTTTGTTTTCTATTATTCTGTTTTTTCCTGTAATATAAGAGCATTTTGTGGTAGAATGTGGTCATTTCCTTCCATTATATACTCTTAGAGGTTAAGGATGTGCTACTAATATCATTGACTGCTTCCTAATGACCAGGGAAGGGTATAGGTTTTCTGACTGCTTGCATCTAATATTTAATTTATATTACACCTGTTGTGCAGTAGATTTTAAGCATTTACTGCTGGTTTTATTTCCATAGCTTTCGTCTGTTGTATATGTTTGGTTTTGGCTGTTTTGAGTAAAATTATATATAGTAATAGCTGTATTTTGAATAGAAACTGTTGACTTGAGCCATGTGTAGATTTTTTTCTTTCTAGGCCATTATCAGTAGCAATGGACTAGACCTTACATTATTTGATTCACTTTATTTCTCTCTTTATGAGGTAATTTCATATGTTATGATTTGAGTGGTTGAGGTGCTAGGTACATATCCCCGAACTGTCTCATCATGTTGGGCATATACAATGGGAAAGTAGTTTACATGTAGTAAAAAAAAAAAAAAAAATTAAAAAAAAAATGAGGGACTCCTGTGTTTCTTTATTTGATGACAGTTAACACCAGTTGATATTTGATTGTTAGTCCCTTCAGCCTAGTCAAGGCTGTTATGTATAGACTTCTACATGTTACACTCCCTAGAAAGAGTTGACACTTCATTACATGCATTTGTTGTGGTTGAAAAACCTTTGAATATAATTTCATTTCCAATATTTAAAATTTGAAAAATTTTCTACCAATATTTGAAAAACCTGAAACATTTAAAAAATCTAGGTGCATATATAGTTTTAAGACTAGACCTAAGAATGAATTATAAGGGTTTCATGAATGCCCTGAAATTTGCACACAATTTGATAATTATGAGTATGTCTGTGTTGCTGTGAAGAAGGTCCAGTGTTTTCAGCAGTTTCTCAAACACATCCATGACTCATGGTTGATTCTGTTGAGTTGTCTGCCAGTACCCTTTTGGTGGCAGCCATGTGGACTGGGACCCATTTTCTGGGATGTCCCTTTCCCCCATTCTGTTAGATTGAATGTACTACCATTTTCCTACCTTGTGGCATGGCTTTATCTCTGCAGTTGTTTGGTGCTGGTGTAGGTACCTGACACAAACAGAACAGTTGTTACCTGGGAGTTCTGGAAGAGGCTGGTGAGAGAGAATTAAAGAGAGTAAGAGACATCAGGGGAAATGAGAAAAAGAAAATCAGTCTCTTTTTCTCTCTGGGCTGTTGCACAGTGCTATATATAATCTTGCAAGGTGCTGGGGGTAGCCACGCAGACTGGGAAACAGAAAAAGGAAGATGAAGCAGATATACAGAGAGAAGGTGGAGGCAGAGACTTTCTAAGTTTTCTTTATTATCCCAATCACTAGTTGTGTCCTTAAGGCCCATAGACTTTGTGCTTAAGATAGCTCTACTACATTCTTTGTACCCTTTTTCTTTGATGTTGTCTCCCCTCCCCCCTTTCCCCCATCTCACCAAGCACAGGTAGTTCTTTGGGAGGAATAGAGAACACTGGTGTTAAGTGGTGACAGGATAGAGGAACGTGGAGACAGCTTAGAGTATGTGACTAAGCAAGTGTAGGGGAGGTACAGTTTTTCCTCTGCACTCAGGGTCTCCAGCTGGGCCCAAAGATTAACTCACATAAGACAGAGCAACAGGAGAAAAGTATACAGATTTTATTTAGTAATTTTTAACTATGCAAAGAAAACTTCATCAGAAAAATGAAGACCCAAAGAAGTAGTTAAAGCCAAACACTTACACACTAGGTTGGACAAAGAGTAATAGTTGTGAAAATGTGATAAGACAGTGGGGTTTGGGTTAGGACAGCTAATTAGAAGCAGTGACTAGGAACGTAAGGGTTAGTTTAACAAGGTTGGTTTATTAAGATCTCCCTTGGCCTCTGCTCTCCATCTCTGGTGATGAGAATGTCTTCCTTCCTCCGGTGTAGGGAGGACCCCTTTTCTATGGGAGTTTGATTTTGTGCTTTTAGAAAGAAAAGGGAAGGTCAAAATGCCTTCTTGCATCTGCCAGTTTTCAGCTCCTTTAACTCAAAATAATGAATATGCCAGACTGGCATATTTTGGGGTAGCATGCTCTGAACTCCTCCACCAGCCACCACAGTGGGCACTGAGAGCTTAATCTTGTGTAAAACCCAAGGAATCATCCTGCTCAGGTGTTGAGAGGCCTAAGCATTTAAACATCAACTCCCAGAAAGTATTGGTTCAGGATTGCTTAGATGAGGGGGTGCTTGTTGTCCCTATACACACGTGGCGGAGCAGTAGCCTTCTATAGGAAAAGCTTCTGCCCTGGGGATATGGATACGGGCAGCGAAGCACTGACCAGAGAACACCCAAGCAGTAGCTCTGAGTCATCTATGCATGGGGCTCCGATGAACTCTGGCAGACACACACCGTGGACCAGAGAAAGGTTCTTGATACACCTGCTTTAAATGGCTTCCTGACTTAGTCCCTAAACCTGGCCTGAAAGATAAGGCTAACTTAAGAATATGGATTTAACTTGGTTCCAAGATGAATAAATAATCATCACTCAAAAAATCTTCCCAGATAAAATTATTGAAGTCATGGTTTATGGTATAAGAACTTTGGAATCTTGAAGCACTGTTTTTCTGAGCAGGCTCCCTTTAAAAAAAAATTATTTTAGTAACTTTGTATTTTATTTGGCAATGAGTTTTGTAGGTTTGTATCCAAATACCATAAGGAAAAGGTTAAATGAATATTTTAGCTTATTTTTTTTTACTGTGATATTTAAAATTTTTATTTTTGATCTTTATTTTTCACACATAAAAATCATATTTTTAAGGTATGCAGCATGTTTTTTTGATATATGTATACAGTGTGAAATGATTACCACAATCTAGTTAAGTAACGTACCCATCACCTCCTGCAGTTACTGTGTATGTGTGTGTGTGGTGGAACACTTGAGATCTACTCTCAGCAAATTTTAAATATATAAGACATTATTGTTTATTAATAATACATTGTACAACACATAAATATAAATGTATTAATACATCATTATTGCCTTTGCTTTTAAAAAGCTTTTTATTATGCAAAATTTGAAATACAAAAGTAGACAGAATAGAATGATGAACCCCCATATACCCAACATGGAACTTGACAGTTATCCTTGAAGACCCTCTTATATTTTTAATCTTTGTTCTTCCTATTTTTGTCTTCTCTTACAGTTTTTTTTAATTGAGGTAAAATTTACATACAGTGAAACGCACAAATGTACAATTCTGAGTTTTGGCAGACATATGTAATCAGCATCTTTGTCAAGATATAGAACATTTCCATTATCCCAGAAAGTCCTCTCATGTCTCTTCCAGTCTGTTTGCCATAGGTGAACACTCTTCTGTTTTCTGTGACCACGGATTAACGGGATCTGCTGATGAGCATAATATAAGTGGAGCCTTCTGGTCAAGATGTGTCCATGCTCTTGCACGTATCGGTAGTCCATTCTTCTGTAA